GTGTTATAGTGAATTTGTTGGGGTCATCCAGTGTGAAGACTGAAGGAATGAAACCTGATTTGTTCACTATGAAGTAAGTTGTAGGTAGCTTTTGTGTGCACACGCACACGCACACGCACATTTACTTAGCTATCTAAATCTGGATCTCTGGATCTAAATCTCTCTCTATTGCATCTCTATTGTTTTTCTAATCAGTTTGTTATAAATACTGTAACCTAACCCTAACAGAAAACGTTATGCAATTTTTAAAAAACTTTTATAAAAATTGTTTTTACAAATGAGGATGTCCCCAAAAGTAGATTTCAGAGATTTGGTCAGATTTAGCTCATTTCAGGGTACAAATTCATTCCCAAAATATGGTTAATTAGATACACACACACACATGCTAAACAACTAAATTCATTCAAATTAATGTGTACGAAAAAAAGAAAGAATGATCAAATTAATAAATCAAATTAAATAGAAAGGTTAAACATGTTGCCTAGCTGTTAAAGTAATAGAAAATACAAACAGACACACACAAATGGACACATAATTTGAACTTCATTCCAATACTATGCATAATTACCCCGCAAATGTATACCGTCATCCAGAAAGCCTCAGCGCACACACAGACATGCACACTGGCATTTAGTGCTGTTTGTGTTCATTCACCCCATGTCAAATCCATCGCACACACACACACACACACACTGGAGAACTGTCATTTCATAACATCATGGTAAAATAAAAAATGAAACACTGCGCTTATTACTGGAAATTTAGGCTTTTAAATGGTCAAGTCCTTTGGTTATTTGCATAATTTATTCATGCTTTTCTTTCTCTCTTCTGCCTTTGCACAATTTCCCCTAATTTGCATAGACTGTCCATTTAAGGGTCCTTAAACGGAATTATGCCCTGCATACTTTAATTGTTGACAATTACATTTAACTTGAAATAAAAAAAACAAAGCCATTAAAACATAAGTCACTGTGTGAGAATGTAAGAGGAAAAAAGCACAAAAAGCCTTGAGAAGAAAAAGCTCACTGTAAGATATCTTCCTACACACACTGGTTTAACACCAACAAACACCTGAAAAATACAAAAGAACAAAATGATCTCATTTACCAGAATAACACTTACAGCCCACATAAACATATCGACTGTGTATATAAAATTACAATTAGTTATCCATCCATTTTCCTAACCACTTATATGTGATGCTGGAGCAAATTCCAGAATCTCTGGCTTTATGCAGAGAAACACCCTCAACGGATGGCCGGTCCATAAAAGGGCTACTGCAACACACATTCACACTCACACCTAGTGTCTCCAATTTGATCACAATTATATCCTTCTATAAACTGCATTATTGCACATCATAAGTGATGCAAAAATTGGATGAACGCATCACAGAAAGTGAAATGAAAAAATGTTAAGCTCTGTGAGATGCTTTAATAGGGAGTTAAATAACACAACCATCCTTCACTGCAGGCCCACACAAAGTTTAGTTATCTCAGTGAAGAAATGTAATAGACTACATGCTCATTTCTGAAGCTACTAACCGACTAACCATAACCCAAACACTACTTCTAAAAGAATTTGATTCACACTTATATTTGTGCATTTATAGCATAAATGTTTACTTGAATGGTTTTTAACAGTCTCTTTGCACCCTGAAAAGTGTTTTTTATCAAATTTAACTGATTTCTGGGTTTGTCCAAGAAGTAAAACTCACATGTAGTGTTTCACATCCATTGAACACAGCAAACAAGGCCTTAAGATAAACATATTTAATTAGCAAATTGTTTACAATACTCCAAAAGTCATGAAAACAAACACAATAGCATCGATTGAGAATATGGCAACACGCGCTCTCTTTTTTTGACTGCAATAACTCACAACTCAGTTCTAAATGTAACTGTATTTTATATATTGAGAACATACGCTGTAATATGCTGTATTTTGAAATGCAGAAAGGAGTCACTAACCACTACGTAAATGTGGTATTAACACAGTAAAACATCATGTGTGGTTGTAATGCACCTTTAACACAAATTCCCAGCACTCAGAAATACCAAACACAGCTGTCCAAAGTCTTGGTGTATACAACAAAACACCTTTAGAGAGTTTAGTGCACCATTACTGCAAACACTACAGGATTTCAGAGGCTTCTAGCCAAGGTTTTTTGTTTATGGCTGTAAAAGTGGTAATAAACTTTATGATATGCTTATGATGTACAGTTTTCAACATCTCGGTTTGGTTACATCACATTCTGTAGATATACTCTTTCCCTAAAAAAAAGTACAGAATAAGAGGGGTTTGGGTGTATCTTAGAAGGATTCTTACAACATTTTTCTAATTACAGGAAAGTTGCCAAAAATGGACAAATATCTCTGTTCCAAATCCTAGTTAGCAGCCTGGCTCAGCTGCCTACATAGGCAACATCCTAATAATTATGGAACCTCAAAAGACTCATCAGAAACACTCAGAGTTGGTATGTAAAGAGACTCAACTAACACAGTTAGTGATGTTAGCATGTTGCTAAGATAACAACTTCATAACCACAAAAAATACATAGCTCAAAATATGAAGTGAAAAAAAGTTCAATTTTAATGCACAATGTTGCTGACTACTGTTTGGAACAGCCATCGTGTCAAGAGTGTGCTCACTAGGTTTAGGAACAGAGTTTTGCATAGAATGCTACAGACTATTGAATTTAGAACTATCTACTGAAACTATGTGAACATTCTAAAGTTTTAATACCAAACAACCCTTTTAATAAGACGACAGATCAAGAACTGATGTGATATTGATCATTTAATAATTCTCCTAATTTTCAAAATGATCAAGACAAAAACAGAAAAGCTGCAGAGAGAATAAAACAGGAAAATGTAAAAAAAAAAAAACGACCACAATATAAAAACGTGATGTGGAAGAAAACATTTCTCTTTAAAAATAAGGAAATATAAATGGCACTTTTGGCAAACAGCTGAAAAAAAAAAAAAAAAAAAGTTAAAGAATGCCTGTGCTTTCATCTAGACAATGATAAATGTGTGTAGTTCTGTAAGGTGTTTATGTCCTAATCATTTGAAAACTATACAATAACTTAAATAACTCTCACATTTTAGTTTTAAAGTTTGCGGTCAACAGGAAAGTTATGAACAGACGGAGCATGTGATACAGTAATACCACCGAAACAATGATGCGCTCCATTGCAGAGTGCGATTCATCATCATGATTGAGGTTTGTTCAGTTCATCCGATTTGGTTCAATTCACAATTCAATTTTGACCTGATGGATCTTTAAGCAGCCTTTTCAAGGAATTCCTTCCATTTGTCTCTTGGAATGAAGCCAATTCACCCTCCTGCATTGAAACTGGACAGAAATAAAAACCCGACAAAAAAGTATTCACACAAAGGGAGTGATTTTGGCTAAACATTTCCTTGTGATTTTCCTCCCACTCTGCTGCTTTGGTGATTGACTTTCATAAATAAGTATAACATCTTAATTCCCTTTAGCGGGGTTCACAAAGAATGGAAAGGAAGTAAACAGAAAGATTTGTAGTGAAGTCAGCCAAACCTATTTCCAGTGCTTGGGATAAAGTAAACTCAACACTATTTTTAAAAATGCACAAAACCTTAAGTGAGGACAAACATGCAAAGTCATGTGCTCTCCTTCTCGCTGAGCATTTTCACACTTGGCCCTTAAGGCAATGTTTTATTTTTGGTGGCCAAGCAGGTCAAGACCGTCTCAGGAAGTGGCCGGAATAGTCTGAATTCCATTTGTTTTTATGTCTGCAGTAATGTTTCACTCAATATGCTTATTTTTCAAGATAGTCTACAACATTTTTGAGACAACAGCAGAAATTGGTGGAAAAGACAGAACAGCACTATGACTGATAATTACTGTTATCTACTACACATTTTGAATCGAACAGCAAATTTTAAAGCTGCAGTTTGTAATTTTGTTTGGAATTATAAAAATAAAGATTTTTAATTCAAACATTCCCCTCCACTTGACATTGGTCGGACAAATGAAAGTCCCACCGCCAAATACACACAAATCGTTAAGCCAGTGTTGATCAGTTGGGACACTCAAACTAAGTGGCACGGAACCACAGTGTTTAAATTTTTTGGGAAGTGAACATATAAATAAGTGACTTATCTCTGCATATTAACCTATGAAAGGAGAATGTAATTTCTCACAGGAAAAAAACTACACACAGCAGCTTTAAGAACCTAAAGAATTGCAAAGACTTTTTGCATAATGTTTCATAGAATGATCTTGTATCCTCTCTTAAAATGCAGCAAAAGTGCATACAAACTTATCAACAGACAAAAAACATTTTGCTTTGGACCACCTGGTTTCAAGTCAATTGAACTGGGTTTTTCCTAAGGACAGTATGTGAAAACGCCCTCTTCTTCTCTGTTAGACACACAGGCATATGCCATTTATCTGACAGACACTTTCCTGAGGTTTTTATCTGTCTCTCTCACACTCACACTCACACACATGGATTCTTTAAACAATCAGGATTTGTCAATTCTCCTGTGGAAAAAGGGGAACAGGATTTACTATTAAAGCTCACCACATAAATAACCATTACAAGGCCACAAACACACACACTCAGAATGTACACCATGGCAATATGGTCAACAGAAGCTAATGTCCAACCACCACATCTGTTACCGTGATCTCCTTGTCGCCAATGCAGCCACAACACATCCATTAGACATATAAATTCCCTTGATGTACTCTCCTATCTCTCGGAATGAAGGAGCGAACTCTTTCCATCTCTCTCAGATATATGTGTCCGTCTTGGAGGATATACTGGTTTGTCCATTCCTATCAGAGTGTGGAGGTCAGTGTCTCACAATGACCTGTTAAGCTCAGCTAGGAGGGGCATAAACATCATTGTCCTCTTTCCAGAATGGAGAAACTAATCTCCTCCTGTCCAATGTAGAGACCTCCTGGGCAGAATTCCCCTGCTGCACCTGTATTTTGAGGCCCTTGCATTGAACCCCAACCCTCTACCTCCGATCCACTAGGAGGAGCACTCACACTTCATCAGCTCAAGCACTTCTGGTTGAGTGTGAGCACAACCGCTCAAGGTGTGTTTGTGTCAAGGCAGAGATGTTGATGAGAAGTGACAACAGAAGTTGAGGTAGATGGGAAGTGTTGTCCGGATGTACTATTGTTTCGTCCGCTCATGGCTACCGTGAGAGTCTCCAAGCTTCTTAAAGAGTCTCCATGATTAGCTGGCTTGAAGGATGAAGATGTTACATCAGCCGATCGGTTGAACCCATTTTGCTTGTCCACCGTTTCGTCTCCTGAAGGTCTGTATAGGGGGCTGCCTTCAGATCTAGAGTCTGAATTAGAGTTGCCGCCAAAATCAAACTCCTCAAACACTCCAATCTCGCTTTGAGTTGATGGGTAATATGATTTTGAAAGGCTTGGGGCATCACTTTCAGAGACACTGGTGGCTGGGTATGAGTATCCCACAGCTGGAAGAGGGTTAGGAGGAGTTATACCTGCAGGTAGGTACGCCGAAGGAGGAGGGGGAGGACTGTAGCCAGCAGGAAGAACGGCATGTGAGGGGTAACGGGTGTTAGGGTAACTGTATGCAACTAGGTTTGGTGAGGTGCTAACATTGTAGGTTGATACCAGACTGGCATGGGAAGGGGTGGGGTGGAAAAGAGAGCCACCGTAAGTGCCTACAGGCTGCAGGAAGGGAGTGCTGTAGGGAGTGCTGCTGTACTCCTGATTCCCAGTCTGACCGTTACAACTGCTGCTGGAGAAACAAGGCTCCGGAAGACTCCCGCTGCCTATAACCGGTGAGTTACACGCACTGACAGACACATCCGTCACACTGAGTGGTACTTTGGGAAGAAGCTCGGGGACGCAACCTAACGGAGGGTAGACACTCTCCAGCCAAGGCTCTGCCTCCACCTTCCGTCCATTAAGAAAGGGCGGCCCGTTATTCACAACACCAGGTCCCCTAACGCTAACTGAAATGGCTGTGTCTGGATATCCCATAAGTCCACTCTCACAGGGTAGATCCAGAATGGCCGAATATCTCTCTGCATACCTTTTGAGCAGGTTCGAAGCGGTCAGAGCTGAAATGTCATCGTTTGCCCACGAATGTTGATACGCTGCAGCTGAGGTCGAACCTGTTAGCCTTGGATCCCTAAGTGCTTCGATCTTATGCCCTGGTGAACGAGTGGTGGAGGTGATGTCATAGTGTTGCTCCGCCCACTGGGACTGCTCAGGGCTCCACTGCATGGTCACGCCTGCCAGTGAAAAAAAGGTATGTCAATTCAAACTCATGGAAATTCATAAAAATCGGTAATATAAATAACATCATAAGCAAAAAGCTTCTGAATGTGCCGCCCACATGGATTTGCTACTCAATATGCAAACATACTATAATTTGATATTTCTGTAAAAAAAACACTAATTATACTTATTATTCTACCTTATTTCCATCGCAATATAAATTAAGTGTACTACAAAAACACCACTGAGAGAAAATGTGAGCAATTTAGGTTAATTAGCGTTATTCGAAAATTACCACAGTTCCAGATAATGACCAATTCTGCAAGCACAAAACTCTTCCACAAAAATGAATAATAATATAAAATATTCAAATGAAAGACAACTGAAAATGGCTTTCACATTCTTTTTTGAGGCATACACTAGCAGCTCTCTGAGCTGTTTTACGGTCTTTAGATTGACAGTGATGTTTAAATTCAGCTGTGCACTCGAATCACCCCCCCCCCCCCCACATACACACACACACACACATCAATTATAGCGCTGATGATATCATTAAGGTCTGATACTGAGATACAGCAGAAGGCTTCTTCTCAAGTGAATAAAATAAAAGCTCTTTAATGTAATCAAGGAACCTCATATTACACTCTCTCTGTCTCTTTCTCAGTTTCATTGACTCACGTACACCACGCAGGAACATAATATTTCAGCATACTGTAATAAAGACTGATCAATAATGTAGCTCTCGGCATTAGCAACTGAACCCGACAACAGATGTTACCCCTAAAAATACTGTATCTCTGTCATTTCAGCTTCACACATACAGTCTTGCACAAAAAATTTTGTTTGTGAAACAAAGAGCTTTTCTTCTGCATCGAACTTTGGCATATGGCTGTACAGAGGGAGAGAGATGGGGGAGAAGGGAAAAAAAAACAGAGAGATAATGTCCTTAAGCCATAAAATATAGCACATAAAATACTTCTAAGATGAAGAAACATTGGATTTTTTCTGACTTTGCAAGTACTGTGGATAAGCAAAACCTTGTGCATCGAAAACAATCCAATGTTTTGTCGAAATGAAATAAAGAAAGAGACATATACTGCATATTACAGCAGATGGATATTGATTTTGGGCTGATGGAGCAAAATTTACATGTTCTATCCATCTCAATTAAAAACTGCCCATTTACATTCAATTCTATCAAGCAGCAAATCCTCCTGATCGATACATGCAACTTGAGGTCATTCAGTGTTCTCTCATGGGAAAAGACTGGACTTACTGCAAACACACACACGCACAAGAGGTGGAGCAACTGGCGCCATTTCCCTGGAAAGACTTTAACTGACATAAATGAGGACTTTGAAAGTCACTCATCACACACGCAATAGCTTTAACTGTTAAAAACTAAAGTTGTATAGTGTAGCACACACTTAACCAAAGCGACTTACAATACTGGGCACAAATCACACTAATGGCAATTAGCAGGACAGGTGGCTGAGAAATGGTAGGATAAAAGAAGAAAAGCACAATAAAATGACAAATGATTAAAAGCAATATCAATAACACATATGAAAGAGCTAAAGATGTCTTTTAACAACTTCCTAATTGCTTTTTTTCTCTTGTAAAGGTTGAGGCTAGTGAGACATACTAGTAGTCATTAATTCAGCATTAATTTTTAAATGCTTGCCTATAAAAAAAATGTAAATTCAGAAAACTAGATCGGTGAAGAAGATGTGTGCGAAAAACAGAACAGAAAATGTTTTGTTTTATAGATATTTTAAGTCTATGGAATTTTTTTATATTTACATTTATGCATGCATTTGGTTTTAGCCACATTACATTAGAAATACATTTTATTAGTGTATGCTTTCCCTAGCAATCGAATCCATGACACTGACATTGCTCTCGCCATAAAATGCTGTATGAGCTACAGGATGTCCAGTTGCTTGTAAAAGTGATGACACTCCTGTCCTCAACGAGCCACATGATTTGGCGTATCATTCATGTCTCTAGCAGAAACGGTTTACGCGCCAAAGTGGGTTTGTTAAAATGCCTAACACTGAAAATGAACAATTGCAAGAACCAAGACTGACTATAAAACAACCTTAGAGGATGAACATGTCGTCTAAAATAAAGCCTCAGTTAGAAACGACATCAGTCAAACCTCTTGAGATGAGAGCAGAAATTCCCAAAACAGTGCATGAAGGGTTCTTCAAAAGAATTACACACTAACTTAAACTCTTTTACAATACAAAGTACTATGCATCATGGAGGGGGCTATTTATTTAAATCTGAAAAAAGAAATATATTCTCTGGCTGTGTTTTCATTACATCCTAAAGTCTAAAGCCAAAAGTGATATGTTGTAAAGTCCAATATTAGCTGCAGTTTGCTGGAATGTTCTCTCAAATGCTGTCTTTTTGTTGTATTCTACAGAACTACCTGGACAATACCATTAGCCGCAAAGCTGCTGATCTAGTGTGTGTGTACTTTTGTGTGTGCAAAAGAGTGTGTGCTGGTGCTTTAGAGAATGACTTTCTGTTGTTCCAATATACCCCCTGGCTACAAATCCTCCGGAGAAGGACCATCACACACACACACAGCAATTTTTAAAGCAATGTTCCATACTTTAAAGGCAGACATTTCATTAGCTGGTTTTAGAGGAAGGGATCTTCACTTCACTGACTGAAAATTTGTTAGCTGTGCTGTAGCGTCTCTTTAAACAACTGTGAGTGTTTATGCATGTGTGTAAATGCATATAGACTACTATTTAAAACCAGAAGCACATCGACAGACAGATAGACTCACTTCTCCTAAGTGAAATCTCAGGTTTCTCTGGCAGCAAAATCAATACATCACACAGGCTCACACACACACACACACACACACACACACTGCATCCATAAAATGCTTTTATTGAGTAATTAAACAGCCATTACTGTTGCCAACAGCAAAATAGTAAAACGTATAAAGTTCTTCTTCAAACAGGATCTAGACAAAATACGTACCCACTCATTCACACAATCTAATCCAGACTACTGACTTCAGTAAGTACCTGCTGAAGTACAAATTCCTATGGGTTCTTGATTTCAAATCTTTCACAAACACAAAACAAAGAGCCACAAAAATACCCAATTCTGTCTTTAGGGGAAAAAAGGCACTAGTTCACTATATTTAATGATTATATTAACCCTTGTATTATGTTCCGAGTCAATTTGACCCATTTAGATTTTTGAGCTGTCGGAAATGCCAGTTAACCTGTGATTTTATTCTTGAAATTTTGTGACTTTTTCTCATTTAGTGCCATGAACATGCATGCAAATGAAGATACACTGATGTGTTTTGAAGTGCACACATAAATTTGTTACGATTCTGATGTTCGCGGGTCAATTTGACCCACATAGTGTTTTTACTACCCTGGAAAGTTTTCAGTACTGGAAAAGACTTTCTCAAACTCATTGTAAAAGTGAGCTATCATTTCTATATTCAATGTATATGAAATACTATTTAAGTTACCTTTTTCTTCCAGAAATGTTTTAACTTTTTCTCATTTAAGGCCATGAAGATGTCTAAACAAGTTGTATTCCAAATTTGAAGTTGATTTAAAAAAAGAGGTTCCTATGCAATTTTCAATTTTGTTTAGGCGTTATACCAAAACTAGCCACCGGGTGCCATTCAAACGCCATTGAATTTTTTTATGTAATTTTTCTGTCACAAATGTATAAAATTATCTCTCAATATTACATCTATCTCAAAATAACTATCAAATATGGAATCTTGAGACTCAGACCTTTCCAACGATATGTGTTTTGTCAAGATTATAAAAAGTTTTGATTCTAAAAAACCGTAATACATTTTGTTCAATGACACCCCCACTAAGGGAGAGGAACCCACTAAAAGATTTTAAAGGACCATTTTCATGGTAAAGCAATGTCCGATTTCAATATGGGTTCCACAGGATGAATTTTGAGGTTTTAAGCTTTCAAATGATATATCATTTATGTTGATTACTAAAACATGTGATAGGGAAGAAGGAAATGAAAAAAGAATTTATGTGACAAAGGTCAGAACTTCTATTATGATGTATATGTTTTGAGGTGCACTCTTGTCATAAATTAATCTATTACTGTTCCTACATAATATGTAACAAAAAACAGTGGTAAAATATCTATTTAGGAGTCATAGACCTTTCTAACAATATATAGTCTGTCATGATTAGATTAGGATTTAACTGTAATATAGTAGTATAACATATAGTAATATAGAAGTAAACTTCTGCCAGCAGGACGGTGACAGTTAAGGGGTTAAAAAATGTGGTTAAACACATTTTTAAAAATCATATTTTTGATATTAATTGTCTGTACTGTGTGACAAATACTGATATTAAGATTGTTCAGTTCATACCTGATTCCTTCTTGTTTTTAATAATGTGATATTTAGGGAATTGCATTGAATGCAATTAGGGTCAATTTGACCCGCTCCATCTTTCTTTCTGTTATAGCTTTCAAATGTAATTTGCATCATTTAAATAAGCATATACTGATCAGGTGTAATCAGAGACACATGAGAACAAAATTTTGGCATTACTGATATCATACTGATCTGACATTATATTAATACAGTACAAACATGAATGAGATTTGAGAGTTGCGTCACAGTCAATAATGAATATTAAATAATAGTACGTTTGTCATTTCAACACAAAGTCATCGTCTGGCTTCATAAGACATAGAATATAGCCATATGGACTAATTATCATTCTTTTAGTTCTAATTTTTGGAGTTTAAAAGCCCATGGTCACTATTCCCTTTCATTGTATGGACAAGAGCAGCATGGACATCCTGCTTAGCTTCTTCTTATGTATTCCAAAGAAGAAAGAAAGTCATATGGGTTTAGAAAATGTGAGAATGAGTAAATAATGACAAAATTATAATTTTCAAGTGAGTAATCCCTATACAGTATAACATTCTTCTATTTATGCTGTTTACTCCTCAAGATGTTTCTTGCATCAGACCAAGG